CCCGGAATGCATTTGACTATGGCCGCTGGAGTCCCTAAAGCCACGTTTCGGACTATGGAGCTGCCAATAACCAGGGTCTGCTTCTCAGCGGGTGTGTCACTGAGTAAGGAAACTCGATTAGAAACGTGAACGTGTCAGTGGTGAACTGGGGGCTTAGCCTTAGCACTACACTTGATCCGGACCGTCACCCAGCCGGCCTGGGGTCCCGGCTGCTCGGGGCCTGCTGGAGGACCACTAACGGGAGCTAGCCTCTGTGGTTCCGCGCTGTCTAAGGGGACCTGGCTAGTTACTGGTTTTTCTACAGCACGGAGCCGAGCTTCCAGTTCAGACAGCCTCTCCTCCAAAGCTACCAGCTACATTTGTTACATGTATCATTGCCACTAAAGGAGGCAGAGGAATAACTAAACATCTGACACACAGAGCAAGAGAAAACAGAGGAAGCAGGGAGAAGCAGCAGCCATGCTAAGCTAATGCTAGCAGGAGGTAGCAGAGCCAAATACAGCAATAAAAACCGAGAAATGTTGAAAGATAAGAGGTGTTTTAAGCACTATCCAACTGTAGAAAAACAACTGTACTAAGTGTGTTTGTGAACTAGAATGAAAAACTATGCAAAAGACAGATAAATCCGGAAAACAAGAGACGACTCGAGCAAACAATTCACTCGAGCTACCGACAGACAAACAGGAAATGACACAATACATCTCACCACGAAAGTGCAACGTCACCAGCAGAGGTCAACTCATATGGTAGCAATTCCAAAAAAGGGTCATAAAGACAAGATAGTTAATAATTAACTACAATTCACTACTGTAAGATGTCAAGATATTTGTTCCCATTGTCAGTTGCATGACAAAAGTTATATCTTTGTGGTCAATAAGAACCCGTTTGTCTTGTTCTTCGTAGAACTTTTTTCTTGCAGGAATATGAGCCAACTATTGAGTTTATCTTTGTAGGCGTTAATGCAGAAAACTGGCTGCAGTACACCGCTCTCATTTCACTTCTGTCTGAGTCTGTTGGAAAATACAGGCATCTTTACAACTGTTCCAGCAACTCTCACAAGGCTGAGTCAGGTCCTCTGGCCAGATTCTTCTTTGTTGAAATGTTTCGGCTTTTATCCAAAAGACTTCTTCAGTCTGAAACACTGACTGAAATCTTGTCTTCAAGTCTTAAAGACCAGTCTTCTTCAGACTGAAGAAGTCTTTTGGATAAAAGCCAAAACGTTTCAACAAAGAAGAATCTGGCCAGAGGACCTGATTCAACCTGATTAATTTATCTACCCTGATTATTGAACATGCATCAGGATGTTACAGATCTTATGAAGATAATTAAAGACATCAGGGAAGGAGACTGAAATTATTGTGCACAGAGAAGACAGCATGAAGACACAAGCGGCTGAGAGTGATAGTGTGAATGGTTGTTTGTCTCCATGTGTCCCTATGGTGGACTTATGACCTGTCTTGGGGGGCAAACCCCACCTCTCGCAGTGACTGCTGGAGAGACACCAGTTCTCTTGTGACCCTGAGTGGAAGAAGTGGGCACAAAAAAGGGATGGATGAAAGTAATAAACAAATGAAAATTTAACATTTGCAATAAGATTCAAATTTTATGTATTGCATTTTAAAAACTGTAAAGTCTGTCAGTCTTATAAACCTGTATTTTATTCATAACAATAAAAATATAAGGTTGGACTGAAAAATGCAGCAGAATAAAACGATCAGCTGATTGCACCTCAACATTCTGCAGGTCCTGGCTGCATAAGCAAACAGAATTAAAGTGTCACATCAAAAATCAAAACATGCTGCTGTGTGTCCAAGAGTCTCATTAAAGGAAAATGTCGATCAGTTGCAGAGTCCTCAGTTCTTCAGCAGCTGGTTGAGGATGCTGGTCTGTTTAAGTCCTCGCAGGTTGGAGATGTCCTCTGCAAACACCGGGATGTCCTCACCATGATTCGTATCTTCACTGTTATCTTCATCGCTGTCAGACAGCGTACACAGGAGTGTGTCGTTCTCATACGTAGGGAAATAATATCTGTGAAGATTAAAATCAGAGGTGATTCTTTCTTGAAATTCGATATCACCACAAAAAATCACCATCTTATCGTTTTTAGAGTTGCTTTGAAGAACGGTCATTTTTTACTCTTGTCCTGCTGATTCCAGAACTCTCAGAGGAGGAATGTGAGAGTCAAGTTGAACTTGTGTGGATTTGACTTCTTTTGCATATTTTCAGGGAATTTGCAAACTATACATGGGGCAGCTGTGGCTGAGTGGTTAGAGCAGTTGTCCTCCAATGGGAGAGTTGTGGGTTCAATTCCACCAAAAGTCACATGCTGAAGTGTCTCTGGGCAAGACACTGAACCCCTCATTTCCTCTTATGTGTGTCTCATGAGAGTATGAATGTGATAAAAAGCTCTGATTAGTCTCTATAGATTCAGATTATCTTTGTAGAGTGCTGTATGAATGTGTGTGTACCGTATTTTCCGGACTTTAACTCACACTCGTCATAGTTTGGCCAGTCATGAGACGTATAGTCCGAAGCAATTTATATACATTTTTTACCCTATTCATGATGCAATATTTACCGCGTTAAATGTTCATTCATACAGACATGAACCAAAGAGTAAACATCATTGGCAGCCATGAGAGGGCCCTACAGGCTTTTGACAACTATATGTTGTTCCCTTCCCCTCCCACCCAATCTTCCTCCGGAGTTGTTCAGAAGCAACACAGAGGATGAAGAATTCAATGGATTCAGTGATGTGGAATGAGATTGGTGAATTTACCGGTAACTTGCTTATCAAACTCGTTTGTTTTGATATATCCTGATGCATGCTCAATAATCCAGGTAGAAAAATCTAAAAAAGTTCAGTCTGGTCCTCTGGACATTCACAAAAAACAAAAAACAAAACAAAAAAAACTGTAGAAACGTTTTGTCTCTCATCCAAAAGACTTCCTCAGTCTGAGGTGCTGTATTCATCTCAGTCTTATAAATAGCACCTTCTCAGAGTGGATCAACCAGTTTTGCTGCTGACTTACACTGGCTAAGGCTAAGGCTGGTCTTACATCGGGGAAACTAAACAGCCACTGGCCAAAAGGATGGACCAGCACAGAAGATCAACATCATCAGGCCAGGACTCTGAGGTCTACACTCATCTCCAGGCCAGTGGTCACTCTTTCAGGGATGAAGATGTTCACATCCTGGACAGAGAGGAACGATGGTTTGAGAGAGGAGTAAAGGAGGCCATCTTTGTGAAAAGAAATCGTCCATCATTAAACAGGGGTGGAGCCTCCGGGTTCAACTGTCCCCCTCTTACAATGCTGTGATTGCTAGTATCACTCAGCCCTCTGTGAACAGTAAACAGCCATCAGGTGCTAATGATCCATTGTTAGGCTGATGGTCCTTCTTGAGCATGTGAGCAGCTGGTTTTGGTTGTCAGCAGCAAACTGGTTGATCCACTCTGAGAAGGTGCTATTTAAGAGACTGAGCTGAATACAGCACCTCAGACTGAGGAAGTCTCTCGGATGAGAGACGAAATGTTTCTAGATTTTTTTGTTGTTTTGGTTTGTTTTTTTTTGAATGTCCAGAGGACCAGACTGAACTTTTTCATTGTTGGCTCTGTTCAGGATTCCAGTTATGTCCTGTATGTTATTGTTATTTCAGATTAAATGTCTCTTCTTGCACTTTGTGAAATACACTTCTAAATAAATGCTGCATATACTCAGAAGAGACTTATATATATGTTTTTTTTCTCTTCATGAGGCATTTTTTGACTGATCTAACCTATACTCCCAACTAGGGGTTGAACGACTACATAATTTTTAAACTCGACATCAACATAATAAAACTCAAGTAGAACTCGAGTACTTGATGACATCATAGGATCTAAAGATACAAAAATAAATAAATAAAACTGCAAAAAAGGTCATTATTTACAAAAAAGACCAACAAAACATTGAGAGCGTATATTATGCTCCTACCATTTATCATACTGCAAATAATCACAGGAAAAACTAAACTATTAGTTTTTATTATTAAGCTGCAAAAGTGAAAGAAACATGCAGCACGTCAGAAACAAAATTAAAAACAGTGAGGAGGTCGACCACCCCGCAACACCGCCAGCTGTGATGAGCATTAAGTTTAGTTTTAGAGATTAATATGTTTATATATATTTTTTATAGGTTTAGAGATTAATATTTTTTGCTTTTAGTTTGTGAAACAAGGTCAGAGGAAGCTGGTTCTGGTTCAGTCGATTGGACCTGGTGTTACACCATATTCTGTGACCTGCAACAGTGCATGCAACACCGCCCCCTACAGTCACAATATACGGTGGTTACAGAATATGGTGTAACACCGGTTCACAACGAGCTCCAAACAGTCAGGAAGTTGATTCATTTTCCGTTTCCTTACGGTAGTTGAACCAGAAGATTCATCTTTAGTGAAATATTTCCAGACTACTGATGCAGCTCTACCTGTTTGTCAGGACTGGGCCTGCTCCGCTCCGTCTGCTTAGAGGAATTCATTTTGTAACCCGCGCCTGGTGCGGATCACGTGACGCAATGACGTAACGGCAACGTAATGACGTCACCACGAATACTCTACGTGAAATTTAAAAACTCTATAGATGTGCTAGGAATTGATGTGTAGATTACTCGAGTAGTCTGTTAAAGCCCCAAGCAACATATAATCCAGAAAATATGATAGTAGAGCGCTGTAATGTGTGTGTAGTAGAGTGCTGTATGAATGTGTGTGTGGAGGTAAATGAGGGCACATAGTGTTGTAAAGACCTTTGAGTATCTTGATGACATAGAAAGGCACTGTATAAGTACAGTCCATTTACCATTTACTTTGCATCTGTGTTCCCATGAGCTGTATAATCAAAACTCAAGTTTCAAGGAAATGTGCTGTCAATCTTAACAGTTAAGAATGAAACAGGCTATTATAGACCCTGTGAGTAAACATATATATATAAAAAAAAAGAATATATCAAAGAATCATAACCATAAAAAAAAAAAAGAAAATAAAAAATAATAAACATAAAAAAAAAAAAATATATCAAAGAATCATAACCATAAAAATAAAAAAAAGAATATATCAAAGAATCATAACCATAAAAAATAAAAGCAAATTGGAGCAACGGTACAAAACAATTGAAAGCAATAAAAATAACAACTGTCAAAGTGCACAACAAAACCACAACATGGCCCTTGGTGGGATGCTGTGGTCTCCTGCCTGAGGGAGGAGGAGAAAACGGTTCATGTGTAGAGTGGGCGGAGCCTCTAATGATGCAGGCTTCCCCGTCCATCATCTGGTGTAAAAACCAGAGATAAATAGTGAGCTGCATGTGACAGTCCTTTGTGCAGATTCTTTCACTGCACCTGTGCAGCTAGCACGCAACACTGAGCTCTCTACTAAACAAAGGAGAACGAGGTGAGGATGCTGGAATGCATCCCTGCATTTTATACCTCCTTTTTAAGGAAATGTAAGTATACTATAGAAGGCCCATTTAAATGGTAAAATGGACTGTACTTGCATAGCACCTTTTTATCTAATCAAGATACTCAAAGCTCTTTACCTGTGCCTCATTTACTCATCTACACAGCACTCTACTAGATCTATACAAAGATAATGTGAATCTGTACTGGTCAGAGCTTTAGATCACATTCAGACACTGATGGGACACACATTGGAGGCAGTGAGGAGTTCAGTGTCTCGCCCAGGGACACTTCAACATGTGACTGACTGCTGGTGGAATTGAACCCCCAACTCTCCTCTTGGAGGATGACTACTGTAACCACTCAGCCACAGCATTTAACAGCTTATTCAAGAGTACTGGCACCTTCTGATTATTTGATGTACAGTAGTCCTATTGTGATACTACATGTGGACTGCAAAATATAGAATATGTGTTTACAAGTTATGGAAGTGCTTGTGTGACTGGGGGATATATTATTTAGTTTAGTTTTAGTTTAGTTTATTATTTTTTGAATATGTAACCCCCCACCACCCCAACCCCCCCCCCCAAAAAAAACCAAAACAAAACAAAAAAAACAATACAGCATGAAACATGTCAAAACTTTTTGTTTTACATATTCAAGGGAGTGGGTAAAGTATAAACTTATCAAAATTCCCACTCCTTAACCACTTACATAATCTTACATTCATTACATGTATAATCCATACATACAGTATAACAACTAAACCCACATTTATCCATCAATATAGTATCTATGTAAGTTAACTATAGTAGATGTACAATTATTATTCCTTTAACTTCACCAAAAACAAAAGCATCAATAACAAAATAACAAACAAAAAAACCAACAATAAATGAATAAAATTATTATATATTATATCCAGCAATAATCATATGTTTATATAATAATTTGAACAGTTTTATGTTTGGACAATGTTTAAGTTCAATATTCAAATTATTCCACAGTTTGACTCCACTACTGATACACAAAAGTTTTTTCTAGTAGTTCTGATTTTGCATATTTTAAACTGTGATTCCTCCTTAATGTATAAATTTGCTCCTTAATTTTAAACAGGTTTTGAATGTTTTCTGGTAATTGTTTATTTTTTGCTTTGTAAAGAATTAGAGCTGTCTGTAGTTTCAATATGTCAATGAACTTTAATAATTTATATTTTACAAATAGTATATTAGTGCTGGGCAGCATGGTGGCGCAACTGGTAGAGCTGCTGCCTCTCAGCGAGCAGGTCCCTGGTTCAAACCCCGGTCCAGGGGCCTTTCTGGGTGGAGTTTGCATGTTCTCTCCGTGCATGCGTGGGTTTTCTCCGGGTGCTCCGGTTTCCTCCCACAGACCAAAAACATGCATGTTAGGTTGATTGGTAACTCTAAATTGCCCCTAGGTGTGAGTGAGAGAGTGAATGGTTGTTTGTCTCGTTTGTCTCTATGTGGCCCTGTGATGGACTTGCGACCCGTCCAGGGTGTCCCCCGCCCCTCGCACAGTGATTGCTGGACATGGGCACCAGCGACCCCCATGACCCAAAATGGAATAAACGGGTAAAGAAAATGGATGGATGGAAATTAGTGCTTTCTAAGATCCTATTTACACGGACATGATGGGGGGAAACGTAGATTTTTTTCGTATGTTAATTAGAGGAAAAGATTTGCGTTGACACGGTCGAATTCTGTGTTTACATGTATCCGGAGGACTCCCCCCACCCTCCCGTATCCGCTGTAGTTACCATGCTGGGTCATTAGATGGCGCTGTGAATTTTGTACCTTCACCTATTGCGCATGCGTGCTGCCTCTGCACGCTCCTTTCCTCTGGGCTAAAAGTTCAGCTAACAACAACATAACAACAAGTTAACAACAAGTTAACAACAAGCTAACAACAAGCTAACAACAAGTTAACAACAAGTTAACAACAAG